TTTAAGCTTGTGTTTATCTCACTAATATGGGGCTGGAAGCTGGCAAGGAAGAAAATGATACAGAAAAGAGCTGGCAGATACAATGAAATGCTTCCTTTCCTCATTGTAAGATATCTCTTTAGCCATGCTCTGCAGGAATGGATGCATGGCTGCTGTGTGACATATAAGTTGATCCTTAAATCATTATACTTACTCTGCCAACCCAACCTGTTTTACTCTCTTCAGGATGCTGCCTTTCCTGAAGAGAGAGAGAAAGATTTTCATTGTTATAATCAACCTCCATCTATTAATCCAGCTTTTCTCCCTTTCAAGATTAATGCCAATATTTACAGAATTTTCTCTAAATAAGTTGATGCCTTTTTTATTGATTGATTTACTGCCCAACTTCCAAGACTCAGGGAGTTACAATACAGGAACAAAACCATGTATATAAGTACAAAAAACCTACCCAAATAAATATCAGCAGCCCAATCACTTTAAAATCTTTAAAAAACAGCATCACAAAAGACAACCACCACCACATGCCTGCTTAAACACAATCATCACCACAGTTTTGCATGCGTGGGCCATTAACTACATGAAGGAGGCAATCCCTTAAGTCGCTGGGAAACATGCCACGTAGGGCTTTTAAAGCTGAAACCAGCACTCTGAATTGAATGCAGAAGCCTATTAGTAACCAATGAAGCAACCAGAGAATCAGGATTGTAGCAATTCTTACCTACCAATATTCTGGTCATTTTGTACCAACCGCAGTTTCCAAGTTACCTTCAAAAGCAGGCCCATGTAGAGCATGTTACAGAGTCTGACAGCATCGGGATGAGGGTGAGAGTCACTGCTGCCAGGGCTTCATGGTCTAGATAGGGCTACAACTGGCACACCAGCCTAAGTTGCCAATTACTGTGGAGATCTGCCTCTCCCATTTCTAAGCCACACAATGTTCCCCAAGCATCTCTCCACCAACTCCATCATTTACCCCCAAATCCCGTGTACTCCCCACTAACAACCAGAAGAGTGCAGTTGCCTGCTTGCGCAGTCAAGCTAATCTTCACCCTTCAACCTCTACAATCCATCTTCACCATACCTTAGGGCACTGCCATACACCACTAGAATAGTCACAGATGGTGAGCATAGAAAAGTTTTGAATCCTTCTAAGCCACTGCAGACAAATTCTTTCATCTGTCACCCATGTTACAACACTCAAGTAGTGATCCCTGGAGATTAAAAAGAGACTACTAAGCATTTGTCTACATAGGTACACTTGAATTCTATATCTAAATGGGCATAATGTATATGCCATTCAATATTCAACATACTATAACTATTACAATATGTACTATATGTACCATTCCATTATTAATTCTATAGAATAAGAAATTACAGATTTTGGAAACATCCTATGACTAGAAAAGGGGGACCACAGGGCCGAACAAGAAGAGAGTTGAAGAATGTAAATGAAACACTGATACCATGACCCACAGAATATAAAAGATGGCAGCATGGCTTTGGAGAGTTGAGATTTATCTACAAAGAGCTCTTTGACTTCTTCCAACCTAGCTAGTAGATAAGAAGGGTCTCTCCCTCTCTCTCTTTCCCCTCCTTTCTTCCTTTGTGTGTATATATATGGGGGAGGGGGGAGTGAGAGAGAGAGGGAACGTCTTACCCCCATCACATCAACCCGTCCTACCTGGGCAAGCAGAGAGGACATATTGTGGGTCCCATCAGTGAGAGAGTGTTGACTGGTGGGGCCTAGGAAAAGAGCCTTCTCTGCCATTGCTCCTGCCTTTTGGAACATTCTCCCTCCAGAGGTGTGGTGGGCCCCTCTGCTCCTGGCCTATCAGAAAGAATTAAAGACCTGGCTCTGCCAGCTTGCGTGGGGGGATAACAACTTTACCCAATATTGGGGGTGGCTAGAGCCTCGATGATACTCCCTGAGTGATTGCCAATTATTTTGGATCTTTTTATTTTCTATTTATTATTGTAATTTTGTAATTTTAGTTGATTTTAATTG